GTTAGGAACATAAGGAACAATCAGATCTCTGATATAAGATGGAGCTTGGCCATTTGAAGTTGTAGGGAAGTCCTATTTAAATTTTAAATCATTCTGGCTTAAACATGTATAAAAGGGAGCTCTTTATCAGACTGTAATGTCCCAAAAGTTAGAAAATTTCTAACATTTCTTATTTTTGTTATTTTATGCAGGCCTGTTAGATATATGTCCGCTTGTACACCTAAATTCAGCCAATCGGAGTTTGTCTACACAGGAGAATTGTTTTGGATCATATTGGCCTTAGGGTGGAGTGAAGAGGTCCCAGTTTACATTGTTCTGATTCTAGTTCAACGTTAAATTCGTAACACAATCATTCAGACAGCAGACACCATCAGTCCTCTGTGGCAGTTTGTTATCAACCCAGATGTAGTATTTACAACAAACACTTTGTTTGGATGAAAAAAAGCTGAGAGTGATTGGCTGATGGTGTGGTTCATTTACATAAATTTATGAAGTCGCGAGCAAAGAAACAGAGCAGAAAACACGGCTATGAAGCATGGAAAGAGCAGGTCGAGCTATGTGCAGAAATTGAACTGAGCAAAGGGAAAGTGGTTTGAGAAGAAATTTTTTCGGTGTTGATCACGCCCCAGACCACTTTTTTCTCACTGCGTGCTCAAACAGAAGACTCAAATATCGCTCCATAGAGTTGTTTCGGCTTGTTAGATCAGAAGCAGCTGGCGCAGTGTGTTGACGCCCGTGTGTTGCGCTCAATGAAATCACGTAATTTAGCAGTTCAACCCCGCTCTGGTGCTCACACAGCATGCCAATCAGTGCAGAGGCAATTTGAATTCGTTTGACCTGGGTAGAGACAGATCAGTGAGCCAGCAGGGCTGAGTTCAATTTGTGGCCGTGGCAGCGTCATAACACTTCCGGCGGCTCGTCGGGCTGACACTGCTTTAGTACTGGCTGGCACTGCGTATTACTCCCGGCAGCCACTAGACTGACGGTCTGCGACATCGGCTCCACGTTTACTGACACGGTTTCGGCTGCTGCAGAAGCCATTTTTCACCAAAAAATGGCTTCTGCAGCAACAGATTCTGACCAACAGATTATTTTCAATCATTTTATTTTATTGTTATTTTGCTTTTTGCATCTTGGAATCATATGAGCCAGTGGTGGAACCACGCTTCAGTCGTGTTTTTTAAATTACTTGGAAATACAGAGGAAAATTACAGATTCTTTTCAACCTAGCCTGTTTGTGAATGAACCTCAAGGCCTGAACACGCCGAATCAGATTTTGTGGCCGATCCGAAAGAAAATCGTGACACGGTTGTGGCGTTTACTGCTCATTGGAAGTCATTGGAGCTGATCACACAGGATACAATTTCAACAAGCGTAGGTCTGACTGAGATAGACCCCAGAATTATTTTAGTCAGAGTACGCAGCAATTCAGACTACGCGGCAAATTTAATGGGTCTGACAGGAGTGATGCTTTTACAAAGTAAAACACAGCCGCTTTGGGGGAAAATACAAAATAAAATCTGTTAATCACACACTTGCAAAGAGTCCGTTTTGGAGTTGCACATCGCGTATATAGCAAGCAGGACAGACTGCTGCAAAAACAGTGAATGAATGAAACATAAAAAAAAGAATATTTAACCATGGAGTTCAGGAGGACAGAAAACGGATAAAGTTGTGATCTTCTTTAAGCCTCACAAAAAAAAAAAGGGGGCAGACGGCAAGGTAAGCGTGGAGTATCTCTCTCACCTCTTTATGGAAAAAAAGAAACAAACTTGGATAAACTTCCCAGATCTCCTCCTGAGAATCACCTCTGAGCATAGAAACCATCCCAGGGCATTTATTGCTGCATTTTTCTTGTCTTTAGACATAGATCTCATTATATTTTTTATATATTAACATTCTCTATCTGTTCTGGTTTGAGATGCTGCACAGACCCGAAAAGTGGGGCTTTGCTTTATAGCTGCATTTTTTATTAGATATTTTTTAAATAACTTTTCATAATCTGTCACAGTAAATGTGGGAAATAGTTTTAATTTCCAGAGACAGAAGTGAAAAAAAAATCTACGCAGATCTGCTCCCCCTGCCTAGTTGGAGCCTCTTTATATTAGAGACTAACATTTTTTTCAGGAATCCCACGGGTCACGGGATTCCCGTGGGATGTGAGTTAGTATTAGTAACGATCATGTGATTGGGACGGTACAGGATTAAACATTAACGGGAATAGACGGGAGCGGGAGCAAACTAATAGTAACAAAAAAAAACTAGGATCGATGCCAAAATATAAAATAACATAGAAAGAAAAAAAATCCAGTACTGGCGCCGCCATTTTGTAGTTTTTTTCCTTGAAGCCTACACTATAATTCGAGTAAAAAAAAAAAAACGACACGACCCAAAAACCAACAGTGCTTCCGCTCTGAGTTTTTCACCCGCGCTCAAAAACAACAATGGAGGGACCAACAGTTGGTGGCGAACTTGACTTCGAAAAGTTTGATACTTTTGATTTTTTTATTCACCTAAGATAAGCATGGTCTGTTTCCTCGTTTGTTACTTTTATTATGTATTTATAATTATAAATACAGGAGCGGGAGTCATTCTGAATGGGAGTGGGAGTCATTTCACCAGGAGACGGGACAGGATTTAGATTTCTACTCTGGCCCGGAATCAGGACGGGACACAATTTTTTTTCTGTGGGAGTGGGACGGGACAGGAGTGAAAATCCACTCCAGTGTCAGTCTCTACCTTATATGCAGTTAGTGTGAAATGGAAAAAATAATATTGTATAAAAAAAGTTGTCCCCAACTGGTGTGTTCAGGGCTTTAACCCAATTATCGTCATCTTCAAATGTTCTGCATCCAGTCCCTCTAAAACCTCAGTAATGTTGGATGTTTCTTTCTGTTTTTGTTTGCTTTAATGTAGAGCATTGCGGCGCTGGTGCAGCTCTCTCAGGGGGACCTGAGAAAAGCCATCACAATCCTGCAGAGTGCAGCCCGTCTCAACACTCACAAGGAAATCACTGAGCAAGCTATCGTTGAGATAGCAGGGGTGAGTAACAGTAAAGAATGAAGCAGGGATGGATGCTTTAAGCAGATGTTTTCAAAACGTACTTTCTATTTGAAAAAATTATCTAATGTTTGTTGTGTTCAGGTTGTTCCTTCCACGATGATTGATAATTTGCTCCAAATCTGCTTCAAAGGGACATTTGAGAAGCTAGAAGTTGCAGTAAGGGTAAGTTGTTTCTCAACAATGACCTGCTGACACTGAATGCTTTCTTTGAAAGGACTGTTTGTGTTTTTATGCTGTATCGGAGTAATAATTATTATAATAATAATCATGTTTCCTTGCTAGAACCTGGTGAATGAAGGTTATGCAGCAACACAGATCCTGAGTCAGCTTCATAGCTGTGTCTTGGAAAAAGACATCCCTGACATGCAAAAGTCAGCCATTGCAGAAAAGATGGCGGTGAGTTTTCTTTTACTATCATTTTAGTTTAGTTGAAAGTTTGTACTCCTTAACAAAGATAATTGGACTTTTTTTCATTTTACAAATAATTAAAAAATAATAATCTAGAAAGAAAATGAAAAAAATACATTGTTTAGAGCAGATGCTTTGATGCATGAATCTGGTATTTACAGTCTGGAATTCACTCAGTTAGTGGGAAGGATTTGTTTATGGGGTCCCATCCAGATGAAGCGCCATAAATTGGACTACATTGGAAAAGTGATCCTGGGCTGGATATGACAGAACATCCCCATCATGAGTCTAATTGGAGTGAATCTTTGTGAAGAGCGAACGAGAAGTTTAACCGACTAGATATGAATTATATTTAAATTTATATAGCACCAATTCACAGGACATGTCCTCTCAGCTCACGCAATGTACGTACAACAGGAAAGGAAAAACATAAAAAATGGAGAAAAGATGAAAGGAGATAAAAGGGAGATAACGACTAGATTTTTAATGACAATTTTTTTAATTGTTGAGTATTATGTAAATGCATCTTTGACCACTAATGTGTTTTTGGGGGGGCATTTTTTCTCTTTACATCCAATCATAAGACACAATTTAGTACAATGGAAATTCTAATTGCTTTACATTGATTAAACAAAACTTTGAAAGACAAGGAGAAAATGGTGCTTGGCTTCCGCGGCCGCAATAGTCCAAGCGGCGCTGAGCTGCGAGGGCCAACCAATGGCGCTTGTGCCTTTGACTTCTAGATTTTTTTTTGCAGCGTAATCATACGCTCAAAACTGTGAGACTGTGAAACTGTTCTGCATACCTACTTATTTTGTTGCTGTTGAAAAAACACACAGATCATAGTAAAAAAAAAAATACATCTGCAACTTGTGTAACAATTATCATTGTGTCATTTTTATTATGTAAATTAGGAAAAAGACAATATTTGTCCAAAGACTCGACCAAAAATTATCAGTAGTACATACCAGGGATCAGTTATACTAATGTCAATCTCAAGATCACTGATCACTCTGTCTCATTCATGTATAATACGTCCTACCCATCATCATTTCCTTTGGATTCATTCATTTTTTCCTTGCTGTGTTTCAGGTTACGGGAAAGTGCCTTGCTGACGGTGCAGACGAGTACCTGCAGATACTAAGTTTGTGTTCAGTGATCATGCAGCAGGCTTCCCAAAGTTAAATCTCTGCTGAGGAGCCTCCTGTTACAGATTGAGATCTTTCCTCTTGTCCAGAACAGTTTGAAACTGGAGCCAGAATAACCAGATTCTGATGGTTGTCCCCCTTTGCTATACAATGTTCAGTTTTAGAAGATGGAACATATGTAACTCTTTGCCAGGATATTGTTGTAATATTATGGAGAATAAATATTTTCTTTTTAAGAAGTGAAAAGTTCTCTTCATACCAGGGTGAGGGGGATTTTCACATGGGTACAATTTATTCTTGTAATAGCTCACCACTAAGGTGGAAACTTGGACCAGCATAGAAAGTTTATATTTTAAATAGGTTTTGTTTTAGTCACTTATATGTGCAGCAGAGTAGGGGAGTATCCCTCATATATGAACTTGTTGCCATCAATATAACTTCAAAGACTTCAATGGATATAACTTCAGAGACGTAGACCAAGAACCATTTAAATGTATACTAAGGTATCACACCACTATATTTACATGAATGCCAAAGGCAAAAAGAAAACAAAATTTTCTGAAAAGTGCTTTAAACCAGTCATATTTGCCTTAACCCTTGCTAGGTAAGCAGAATAAAGCATTACCCTCGCTGTATGCAGTTAGCCAAGCCTTGTAGCCAAATAAATCTATAAACCTGACAAGCAGCTCAACTTTCGAAAGGATGACTGTGACGTCAGTAGTGTTAATTTTAGCAGCCATTTTTAAATTTAGTTTCAGTTTTAGTCCAGTTTCAGCATCGCTTGTTAGTTTTTATCACATTTAGTCGACATCATCCCATTTTTATTTAGTCTAGTTTTAGTCGACTATAAGTCAGAGCTTTTTAGTCTTTATTTTAGTCCAAGAAAACATAATTGTATTCGTTTAGTTTTAGTCAACAAAAACCGTCAACATTTTAGTCAGGACATAATTTTATCCTTTTACTTTTTTGTCAGCAGATAATATTTAACATTTCCTAAAATGATTTCACTTTTCAACATTTTCTCTCATCTTTTTGATTAAAAAAAACACAATTTTATGGAACACATGCAGACATGGAAGATGTTCTGACAATATTTGCATATTTATTTTGAACATTAAGGTTCAAAGACACAAACAAATGCTTGCATTAAAATAAATAAAATACACCTGACAAAGGAAACCAATAAATAAAATAAAGTGTCTTATGAACTTAACACAAATGCTGGCTGTTTAAAGCTAGTTCACATAGAATAATAAAATAAATATATTTGAGGTCAATGTTGTGAAGAAGAAAAAAACTCCAACTGATACAACAAAATGCTTTCCTGCCAGCTAGTTCACATGGTATATAAAGGTACAGTATTTAAGGTGAAAAAGGCATAGCTTGCTAGTCCTGAGAGTCAGCTTTGTATTTGGTGTCGGAAATTAAAGAAGCTTGTATAGCTGGCCTGTCATTGTTTCTGGGTGGTTGTTGGTGGTGGTGTATCTTCAATCTGGAACAGAAACGAATACAATGTCAGGATAGATGCACAGCATAACAGGAATTCCAAGTGTATAAGTAGCATATAGGTCTGTTTTTTTCCTTAAAAACTTAAGTCACTGTAAAAACTACATATGACAATCCATTTCAATCTCATACAAACAACCTAACTATCATTTTATGCAGGAATAAATTGCAGACATTTTTATGTGTATATGTATTTTGGTTGTATTAATATTGATGCCAATTCAAATCAAATGTCCTTATAATAGTAATGTGCAGATAAACAGAGCAGCATTTTATGTCACCAAATAAAGACATTGGGAGTTTGCATCCCTGCAGTGGTTCCCCTAGCAATGGCTATTTTGTATATGAAAATCTAGGTAAAAGTTGTTCTGAATTATGTGTGGCATATTATTATTTTTATTTAGTCTTATCCTGATAAATTCCAGCTACCATGTGGTCACATTCCTTCCCTTCAACTAAAACCAAGCATTTGGTTTTGTTCTCCACTTCAATGAAGTGAAAATGTGTCCATATATCACGTCTCCTCTTTCTCCTGAGCCCTGAGCAAAGCATGTTTTACTTTTAACCTGTCGCCGCCTCGCCGTGTATGTGTTGTGTAGGCTACTCTGTGTCCGCCCGCTCCAGGTTTGAAAGTGGGTGTGTGGAGGAGGAGGAGGAGACAGGATTTGGAAAAAAAACATAAAATAATATGTAATTTTCATCTCGTCTTTGTTCATGAATTAAAATGTCCATAGATTTTAGTCCAGTTGTTATTTACTGAACTGCATTTTTGTCTCGTCTTTTTTAGCCCACGAAAATTATTTCTGATTTACTCCCAGTTATTGTTTATTAGTGGGGAGTCTCGTCTAGTTTTCGTTTGGTGAAAAATGTGCGTTGATGAAAACATTTTCGTTTAGTTTTCGTTAACGAAATTAACACTAGACGTCAGTGCTGTGGTGGAAGGTGGTGTGCAAATAAAGCTGCTTTCAGCTGTGGGTCCTGTTCCTACCTTTAACATTGCAGAGGAGCTTCTGCGCATGGATAACTTTCAACGAGTCTTTGGGCAAAGATTTTTTCGCCCCAGGGCACAAATACACTAATCAAAAAAATTAAAGGAACACTTTGTAATCAGAGTATAGCATCAAGTTAATTAAACTTCTAGGATATTGATTTGGTCAGGTAAGTAGCAGAGGGGGTTGTTAATCAGTTTCAGCTACTTGGGTGTTAATGAAATTAACAACAGGTGCACTAGAGGGGCAACAACGAGACGACCATCAGAACAGGAATGGTTTTACTGGTGGAGGCCACTGACATTTTTTCCCCTCCTCATCTTTTCTGGCTCTTTTTCACCAGTTTTTCAGTTGGCTAGGGTCACTGTCACTACTGTTAGCATGAGGCGCTACCTGGACCCTACAGAGGTTGCACAGGCAGTCCAACTCCTCCAAACACGTGCCATTGCTAGAAGGTTTGCTGTGTCCCCCAGCACAATCTCAAGAGCATGGAGGAGATACCAGGAGACAGGCAGTTACTCTAGGAGAGCTGGACAGGGCCGTAGAAGGTTTACAACACATCAGCAGGACCGCTATCTGCTCCTTTGTGCAAGGAGGAGCAGGAGGAGCACTGCCAGAGCCCTACAAAATGACCTCCAGCAGGCCACTGGTGTGAATATCTCTGACCAAACAATCGGAAATGGACTTCACAGGGGTGGCCTGGGGGCCCGACGTCCTCTAGTGGGCCCTGTGCTCACTGCCCGGCACCGTGGAGCTCGATTGGACACCAAAACCAAACTCCAGTATAGAATCATAACAGGCATAAACAATGAGTGTAGAGGTGTGAGGAAGTGGTTCTCTGAAGCGCATTTCCAGCCTCAGATTACCGTGAGACACTGGGGATAGGGCTTCGATATCTCCTCCCGGATTAAGATTAAAAACAAAGTGTGTATCTGTTATAAAAGTCCTGTCGAGGGATGCAGAGTGGATGATCTTTCAAATGATGACCTGTGTAGGTAATCATGCTGTAAAATTCCCTCGCAGAGTTCCTGGGGTTGAAAAGCCTGTTTTCCATCTCTGCAAAGTGCCAAAAACTCTAAATTCATGTCCCTGAAGTGAAAGGGCGATAAATCTCTCCTTCCGGTAAAGGCCTCATGATGTACGAAGCCCTGTACCACATATTTAGGTATGGTCCCCAAAAATAGATTCTCTTGGTTGCAAATTCTTGAATGTTCTGGGATAGAAAACGTCTTCACATTAACTCTCAACGACGGATAAAGCGAAATACTGCGCATCAACGCCGAAGTGTGACCTAAGCATATGGTGGGAGAAACGGAAACCTTTTTCACAAATAGAGAAACCCCTAACATCTTTAGTCGAAAAGTAGAATCACGAGCCCCCATTAAACAAAACGCATCGCTGGCTCTTGTTAATTTAATTCTCATGTCAACAGAATTCAAAAAGTCTTTCACAGAAAAATATATCCCTGTGTAGAGCTCCTATCATGTGAACCTCTTTAGTTTCTGCTGATTCTGCGGCTCTCTGATTCAATCCGCAATTAGGTCCGTTAGCGGGTATGATTGAATCAATAGCACCGGCTGTATCTTTGAAAATTGTGTTTATTCCTCTCTTCATCAACAACAAACCCTGAGGATTTGGTGACATTTGATCATTACTTGCTAAAATTAAAGGAGAGGAACCATATATTTCAGCTGCCTGAAATAATCATTTCCCCCTCCATTAATTGGAATCAAATTAATTTACCTGCAAGTCTTTAACTGTGTTTATTCCTCTCTTCATTACCAACAAATCATGTGGATTTGTTAATAATTACTATTTATTTGCAAAAATTAGCTGCATGAAATAATCAGTTCCCCCTTCCATAAAATGGGAACAAATTAATTTATCTGCAAGTCTTTTAATTTCCTTATTCCTCATACAACCAACAAAAAAACCATGTGGATTTGGTGACATTTGATCATTATTTGCGAAATTAAATGAGGGGAACCATATGTTTAAGCTGCATCAAATAATCAGTTCCCCCTCCATAAAATGGGAACAAATTAAATTACCTGCAAGTCTTTAACTGTGCTTATTTCTCTGTTCACAAACAACAAACCGTGTGGAAATGGTCATATTTACTCTTTAAATGCCAAAATTAAAGGAGGGGAACCATGTATTTCAGCTACCTGAAATAATCTGTTCCCCCTTCATAAAATGGGAACAAATTAATTTATCTATAAGTCTTTAACTTTGCTTATTCCCCTTAAAAAACAAAACAAAACAAAAAAACTGTAAATTTGGTGACGTTTGATCATTATTTGTCAAAATCAAAGGAGGGGAGCCATATATTTCAGCTGCCTGAATTAGTCAGCGCCCCCTCCATAAAATGGAAAGAAATTCAATTACCTACAAGTCTTAACTGTGTTTATTCCTGTCTTCATCATCAACAAACCCTGTGGATTTGGTGATATTTACGCTTTAAATGCCTAAATTAAAGGAGCGGAACCATATTTTTCAGCTGCCTAAATTAGTCAGTACCCCCTCCATATACTGGGGGAAAAAATCATTTCCCTGCAAGTCTTTAACTGTGCTTTTTCTTGTTACCACAAACCATGAACCCTGAGGATTTGGTGACATTTGATCATTATTTTCAAAAATTAAAGGTGGGGAACCATATATTTCAGCTGCCTGAAATAATCATTTCCCCCCTCATTAAAATGGGAACAAATAAATTTACCTGTAAGTCTTTAACTGTGCCTATTCCTTTCAGTACCAACAAATATCCCTGTGGATTTGGTGACATTTCTTTATTATTTGCCAAAATTAAAGGAGGGGAAAAATATATTTCAGAATGCCTGAAATAATCAGTTCCCCCTCCACAAAATGGGAATAAATTAATTTACCTGCAAGTCTTTAACAGTTCTTATTCCTCTCTTCACCAACAACAAATCATGTGGATTTGGTGACATTTGATCATTATTAGCCAAAGTTAAAGGAGGGGAACCATATATCACAGCTGCCTGAATCAATCAGTTCCCCATTCATATTATGGAAAAAAAATTAATTTACCTGCAAGTCTTTAGCTGTGCTTATTTCTCTGTTCACCAGCAACTAATCCTGTGGATTTGGTGAAGCTTCATCATTATTTCCCCAAATTACAAACTCTTTGGATTTGGTGACATTTCATCATTATTTGCAAACATTAAAGGTGGGGAACCATATATCACAGCTGCCTGAAACAATCAGTTCCCCCCCTATTAAAATGGGAAAAAATTAATTTACCTGCAGGTCTTTAACTGTGCTTATTTCTTTGCTCACCAACAACTTATCATGTGGATTCGGTGACACTCCACCATAATTTCCCAAAATGAAAGGAAGGGAATCATATATTTCAGCTGCCTGAAATAATCAGTTACCCCCTCGTTAAAATGGGAACAAATTAA